CTCTATTTTAAAGTCTATTTTTGTTTAATTGTGCTTACCCTTTTTCTTCTGTTATGAGAAAAGATAGGAAAAAATCTAAGAAGAAGGCAGTTTATAAGTCATCTAGACTTGTAAAATGCCAAGAATGTCTTGGATATTGAATGTCAGAGCTTGTAGGTCCTTAATGGTCCTCTAGCCTATCCTCATTTTCAGGATCAGTGAGGGGCAACCAAACAGCAGGCAGCGTGGGGTGACCAGACTGGGGGGCGCGAAGGGGGGGCAGCGAGCTGTAAGGGGCGACCAGGCCAGCGGGTGGGGGGGGGTCAGTTGGGGGTGACCAGGCCATCAGGGAGGGCAGTTGGGACAACCAGTTTGGCAAGGGGGGCAGTCAGGGGTGACCAGGCCAACGGGGGGGGGGGGCATTTGGGGGTGACCAGGTCGGCAGGGGGCCAGTGAAGGGCGACCAGGCTAGTAGAGAGAGGCTGTTGGGGGTGACCAGGTCGGCAGGGGGGGAGGTTGGGGTTGATCAGGTCGGCAAGCAGAGGCAGTTGGGGATGATTAGGCTAGCAGGGGAGCCAATCAGGCAGGCAGGCAGGTAAGCAGTTAGGAGCCAGTGGTCCTGGATTGTGAGAGGGATGTCTAACTGCCAGTTTAGGCACCCGGGACCTGGGCTTCCCTCGCAGCCCTGGCTTCATCTGGAAGGTCATACAGAAGGACATCCAGTCTAATTAGCATATTACACTTTTATTATTATAGATGGTTAATTCAAGAAAGGTAGGCTTATTTTTTATTAGATTCAAATTTAACAAGAATACTCTGCATTTATAAAATGCTCCTGAAATGCCTTATCACATAGCCCTTGGGTAAGAATTCTAGGACTACAGTAGCTGAGGAATGTTCTGGTTTATAGCCAGATGAAAACAAATGAGCCCTGGTTGGTGTGGCTCAGTTGTTTGGAGCATCATCCTGTGCACAGAAGGGTCGAGGCTTTGATTCCCAGTCAGGGCACATACAAAGTCCCCTGGGAGGCAGCCAATCAATGTTTCCCTCTCACAACGATGTCTGTCTATCTCTCTCTCTCTCTATCTCTCTCTCTGTCAAATCATTTACAAGTAACAAATGAATACTAATTTGTTTTAATGATTTCTGATTTTTTTGAGTAGGCAGTTTTCAGAGCCAATAGGCTCTTGTCTGTAAATAGGCATCCTGGGCCACATTTACACAGTGTATTTAGAAATATGCATGTTCCCAAAGGCTATCTGGGGACCTGCATTTGGAATTAGCACCCTATGTATTCTGAAGTATGCCAAAGTTTGAAATCATTGGTACAGTAGAAAGTGGTTTTCTCATGCAAACCTAGGTTTAAATTTTTGAAATCAATCTCTGATATGTGGTATGTCATAAACAAATTGCTTAACTTTTCTCAACCAAGTCCTTTTCTGTAAAATGAGAGAAACTACTTGCCTCACAATTATTATTGTTAAACAAATATATTATTCTTTATTTCCAAAATAACAAGCCTTCCATTAGTCATCTGACCTGTTTGAGTTTACTCTGATGATAAAATTCTTAAAAGTTTTTATCTTTAACTACTGTAGTAGGATGAAGGGAGAGATCATAACCATCCGTCCTACTTCCAGTTTCACATGGTCCCAGAATCTTGAGTAGTAAATTTATTGCATAAAATGTCACACTCTTAAAACATTTGATTGATCTATTTGAACTACATGAACTTTAATAATCCTTAATACTACCAAGCAAAGTTGAATAACTGACAATAATCCAGGAGACTGAAAGTTTTGAAGGTGTATAGGAATGATATCATCTCCATTTGAGAGACAAGAATACTGAGGAAGTAATTTGTCCAAGGTCACCCAACTATTGAGTAGTAGGGCAATGATTCTGATCTAGATTCCCAACATCAAAATTAGTGTTTTCTCTCCATAACACCATATTGCTTAAAAAAAGAAAAAAAAACTGACTACTTGTAAATCACCATGTTGTTTCTTTGGGTAAATGTGGAAGTAAAAGAAGTTTAGAGTAATCTTATTACAAAAAGAGATTATTCAACTCAAAGCCAAAATTACAGTATTCTTATTCTAAGGTTGATGGTTATTTGATCAATATTTTTAAAAGACAAAGTATAGGTGTTTCACCTTTTTAAATTCAAACATCATATTGGTGTTCATTTAGAACATGTCTTCAGGTTTACATCATTTTCTTAAACTATGAAATTTTACAACCACTATTAGTATCACATAACACACTTCCGCAGTTTAAAAACCTCTCTCTGTGCTATCTCAGCTCTGGGAAAATTGCAGCAGTGTAGTAAAGTGGTATCAAGGGCCTTTGGTTTCTCTCTTGAAATACTATTATACGACAAAAGGAAAGACTGATTATGAACAGCAGCTATGAAGTTTGCATTCTTTTAGTCTAAGACTTAATTCTAAAGGCCTGAGGCAAAAGTCATTCTTCAAGAATTAAAGGTGAAGTATTTTATTTGTAATTTCAATTAAGAAGAGTGAATTATTTTAATAAATTTTGAACACATTTACAACATTTTCAGTGTTAGGTCTGATCCAATAATCAGCTGGGAAACTGACCTTTAGATCATTTCCTAACCAACATTCCCTTTTGCTTAGACCACATTTCATTTGCTATGACCAGTAACTTTCCCCTCTGGACTTGCCCAGAATCTGGACCAGCTCAGAGAATTCCCTGCTGAAAAAGCCTTCCTAGAGTCCTTTAAAATCTCTGACTCCCTATCCCTGGGTGCTGGTGCTATTTGTGGGCTCAGCCTATCTGGGTTTCCAGATGATCTATTACATATATAATTCTTTACTACTTTTGGCCTCGTGCATACCTTCTTTGGTGACCCTAACAATCAGTTCATGACAAAATAAATCTAATAAGAAGTTCAAAATCAACATACATACAGTTATTGGATCTATTTTTTAAAATAGCCAGAACCTCTCACACCCCTCTGCCCATCTTTACCCTTTGCGACAGCATGGATGGACCTGGAGAACATTACACTAAGTGAAAGAAGCCAGTTAGAGAAAGACAAGTACCATGTGGTTTCACTCATTTGTGGAACTTAATGAATAAACAACCACCAAGCAAAATAGAAACAGACTCATAGAGAGCAGGCAGACAGCTCTAGCGGCAGAGGTGTTGGAGGGAGTGGAGGGATTGAGCAAAAAAAAAAAAAAAAAAAACTCATGGAGATGGACAACAGTCTGGTGGGGAAGGTGGAAGAGGGCATGCAGGGGATAAATGGTGATAGAAAAAATAAAGTTGATATGATCCTTACAGGCATGACAATAACACAAATCAATAACAGATAATGATCATTGTGCTTCCTGAATGCTTGTTACATGAGAGTACTACGTGGGGCTTTGGGTATATCAAGTAGCTTAGACAAAGGTTCCTAGCCTGAAGGAGCTCAGTCTTAAGTGGACAACTAATATTATAATGCAACATACATTCAGGGGCCAAATTAATTACACAGGCAAGTGCTGTTATAAGAATTTGGTCATTGCAGGCTTAAGGAATCAGAGCTCTGCCTGAAACTGGAGGAATGGAACTGGATCTTGCTGACAATCATATCAAGATCCTACCTTAGATACTCTCTTCTTGGAACATTCTTTTAGACTACATGCTTCATTCTCTTCTTTCAGTCCTCTGCTCAGTTGCGAGTACATGAAACAGTTTATTCTTGTATTATTATTATTTATTAATTGTATTATACATTTGTATTGTTTGTCTTTTATTATTTTTACTAGATGCCCAGTGCATGAAATCCGTGCATGGGGGTGGGGGTGGGGGTCTCTCAGCCCGGCCTGCACTCTCTCCAATCCGGGATCCCTCTCACAATCTGGGACCACTGGCTCCTAACCACTCACCTGCCTGCCTGCCTGATTGCCCCTAACCACTCTGGCTGCCTGTCTGATCACCCCTAACCCCTCTGCCTGCCAGCCTGATTTCCCCTAATTGCCCTCCCCTGCCGGCCTGATTGCCCCTAACCACCTCTGCCTCAGCCCCCACCACCATGGCTTTGTTAGGAAGGAGGACCAGATGACCAGAAGATGTCCAGTTGACCCAGTCTAATTAGCATATTACCCTTTTATTAGTATAGATTTTGTATTCTTACTTACGTTTATCTTTTATGTAATGACAGTAGGTGGGTACCTACTGTTGCCCACCCCTGTATTTGTTGAGTAAATGGGCCTTGTGAAGCAAATGGAATTTACTTAAGAGGACAGAATAGCCATTCTCAGCAAGTACAATGGCTTGAAAAACATGTGCTCCTTAGAGAGTTGTTTTTCTAATGATGGTCTGTACCTGACTTTCTATTCTCTAGAAATTTCAGTAATACCTGGATAATGATCTCACTGATAGTGCAAATGGTTGGGCTTGCTACTATTATAATAATTCCCAGTTAGCCTTTTTCTGGGTCTGCTAATTTTTCCTGAGCACACAATAAAATTGGTCTAAAAGGACTTGGTTGGATCCCTAAAAGTTAAGTTTTACAGTCCATATGATAAAAGTTGATAAGATTTTCAAAACAAATTAGCTTAATTTTTCAGGGTTTCCATGAACCAAAAGAGAAATACTAAAAATTATGACGAAGAATGAAAATGAAACCAAGGTATAATT